AGAGGAATAATGCCATGTAAGACAGTCACACAGGACATCTACAGGTCTAGAACTCCAAGGAATGCCAGCAACTGGTGGCCCAGTGGTAAGAAACTGGGCTGCAATACTAAAGGCACAAGTCTCGGATCTACCAGCTGCTTCATGGAAGGAGGATGGACAATCTCCTCCCATGCGATTTACTGTCTCTGAAAGACTGCTAGAGGGTCAGGTATGGGTCAGATCCAACTTGACAGTACCCACCACCACAAAAAGACAAAGAAATACCATCCCCAGGCTCATGTCCTCCCAAGAATTTATATTTCTTGTCTCCCGAACTCTGACAAAGAAATTTCTGTTCTTTAAAACCATTCACTCATGGTAATTTTTTATATGGTAAGACCAATAACCAAGATTTCCATATCTATTTTCCTATAAGACACTATGTTCTATGCAAATAGCATTTGGTCTGAACCATGTCACTGTCCCCACTATCCCTGTCCAGCACTGGACAAAAAAAGAAATACTTGTTAGATGTATGAACATAATATTGGATAAGTAAGGAATTAAGTGAATGAGGGAATGGAGCTTGAAAAAAAGAACAAAAATAACAACTCATTTTGACTTTCAGCTTTACTAGGCAATGCATTATAATGCAGGGAATTCTCCCACAGTCTCTGAAATCAAGCTAAGTGTATTGAGGGGAAAGTTAGATGCTACTAAACCAAGTCAAGACAGTTGGACACATCACCAGGAAAGACAGATCTCTGAATAAGAGCATCACGTTTGGTAGAGGGTCATCTAAAATGAGGGAAACTCTCTCTGAAATGACTGATGCATTAGCCACATAATGGAATACTGATTTATATAAAAATGGCACAGGATCCAGCAGTGTTTCCCTTGCTCTGTTACATGCAGAGTCAGTGGTGAATTGGTGACAACTGACAAGCACAAGAAAAAAGCAGCCTGCAAGCCACCTGGGGTGTTGAAGAACACTTACCTGCACCATCCGTGTGGTTCTTATTGGCTGTGGTTTTCATTGTTTTCTCGCTGAATGAAAGAAGAAGAAAAAAAGATGATTAGCAATATATTTTTCAGAACACTTAGTAATATTCCGCCTGTCACATCCACTAGTTTAAGCAATCACAATCAACAGAAGCTAAATGATGATAGTAAGTAATGAGGGTACTTTGACATCAGCACCGCTGGTGACTGGGATGGAGAAAGCTTCCCAGTGCACACGGACCCCTGTGGGATGCAGCTGAGCATGGCCATGAGTGTGGGAGGACGGGTGTGGAGACACGTGGACAATGGGGAGAGGCATGAGCAGCGCAGCGTCCATGACAGCTACATGGACTGGAAAGCCGTGTATACTTCTTGAGCCGAAGTGTTACCTTTGACCAAGAATTACTGAGGAAAAAAAAACAACAAACCCATGATTTAGAGAGATGAGAATCTTTTCAGCCTTGAAATGATTAAAAGAAAACTGATTCGAATGAATGAATGAATTCTTTAAATGATTAAAGAGAAACAGATTTAACTATGGCTTCATTGGTTTGCTTTATTTATTTATTTTTTTTACCTAGACGCATCTTTGCTATTACTTGTAATTGGCCCTTTAAAAAGCGCAGACTGAACAAGACCAGTTAAACTGGCAATCTGTTTCTCCATGGCTTGCATCCTCTCTCTGTAAAACAAGAGAATCATTTGTTAAAGCTATATTGATGTGCAGACTGGTTTTTCTAGCTGAATGATCACCTGAGGTTTATAAAGGTACCACCTAGGAGGCTGACCTAAGTTCACCGCAGCCTGGCTCTGGGACCATAATGAGCTTGCAAATCCCTGGCTGAGATAAAGATTTGATTATCAGAGTTCAGTATTAGCACAGTGATCTCACTGAAAGGTGAGGCACAGACCAGAAAGGGCCTCCTTGGAGCCAAGGAACATCTCCCTTGGAAATCTGTTTGCATGCCATGTGCCTGGAGTCAACACGAACTCACCGTGTCCATGTGTCAGAATAGGACTGAGCTCCATTGGGTTCTTAAATGCAGATTTTCAGAGGTAGATTGCCATACTGTTCTTAAAACATGCTTCTGGGGGGACGTGGACCTCTAAGTCATGGCTTTGAACTGGTTCAAAACAGTTCAGTTATGGCCAAGGGAAGCATGGGAAACATGACCGTTGCATAGCAACCAAATGGCCTGTGCAAGATTCTGACAAGCTGTAGTGCCATTCAAAGATGACGCCACCCTGACACACATCCAAAGTGGCTCAGTGGCCACCATCTCTGAGTGGCCAACATGACCTATTTCCTGCTCTGATCAGCATCCAAAACAAGATATTTGGTTGCTACGCAGCATTAACGCTGCCTATGTTTATGTTGGATATGACTGAACTTTCTGGTCTGAAGGTCAGCCTTTTATTTAGCATCCAAGCATGTTAGTCATTTGTAACATAAAATAATTCCTTTGAGAGTTTACCTTGTACAGAAAACCCCCCTCCAAGTGCTGTCTTAAAACAGCTGTCCCTCAGTGGGGCATATTTCTAAACCTACAACTCAGCTGAGGTGGCAGAATGATTTTGGTGTAAATGATGAAGACATCTGTCATGTGTGTGGTAAAACTCATATTACAGCTCAAGAGCGACACACATATCAATAAGACCATGGGAACGGACTGAAATCAGTCTATATTTTGGAGACAGATCAATCTGATGTCCTAAAAATGTCAAACTGGAGACTTCCACAGGATCAAGCTAGGAAAAAATAATGTCCCTAACAACTTGGTTACATCAAAACATCCATGAACAAGGTCTTCAAATATTTACTGTGTAAGATAGTTAATTGCAAATGCTAAATTGCACAAACCTAAGATGCTGCTAATTTCAGAATTCTATGCATTCAAATTATTTTTCAAATTCTAAAGTAACCCCCTCCCCCCAAAAAAAACCCCAAACCACATCATAATGCTAGGCTTCTTGGAGCTAAGTCAGGTGGAGTAGACAGTTAATGCTAGTTAACCTAGTTCAGCAGAGGGGCACGGGGAGGGAATTCAGCTACCTGTGTGTGGCAATTAAAGATGATAATAGATACTGGTATGTGTTAGGATGTGGAGGAACCTTATAAATATGACGCAGAGTGAACTAAGTCAGACACAAAAAGATAAATATTTTAAGATCCTACTTACATAAAACATCTAGAATAGCTGAATGTACAGAAATGAAAGCAGAATAGTAGTTATCAAGAACTGGGAGGATTGTAGATAATAAGGCTGAGATAATAAAGTTGGCTTAGGATAGAGCAGAATTCTGAGTTATTGTACATAGGGTTGCCATGAGTTGAAAGCGACTCAGCAGGACATAACAACAAAAACAACAACATATTACTTAAGGATTACTTAGTTTCTGTTTAGGGTGACAAAGAGTTTTGAAAATAGATAGCAGTGAGGGTCACTGAACATGGTGAATTATCAAACATTATATGCTTCCAAATGGTTGTTGCTGTTGTTGTTATGTGTC